AGCACCTGGATCTCTCCAACAACATTAAAATTATAGTACCAAGCCACGATCTCTACCTCGAATGTTGACTATACTGGCTGTACCTTCACTAGAAACATTTGCATGCCATATATCAAGCTTACGATGCAGATCAGTTGCCTCTGTTGCTTTACAATTTTTCAGCCAAAAGGCAGAAGCCTCCAAAGACTGCGAAGGAGGTACTAAAATAGTGAGCAAAGCCCTAGTATCAAACAAAAGTTCAATAGCTCGTGGCTGTGATGAAAAGTCGTCAAAATACAAACACTACATGTATAGGCTTATTGTTCATATAAATGTATATAATTGTTTTCTAACTTGTCACCATCAGCAGAGCAGGAGGAAAGAAAGTTCTGGGTATCTGATAATTTGAAAGTGAGTTAAATGATAAAACATGTGTATAGAAAAAATTTGCTAACCGATCATAATTATAACGGCTGAGGTCACGGGCTCAGAAAACCCGAAACACCCGCTATCAGCAGACTCCTCATATAGACTCAGCGAATAATAGATCGATTCCTTATGCCTTATTTACTGAAAATTCGGAAATAATCATATATTTAAAATTTTCATAATGACTTAACACAATGCAACAGGGTTTGTTAAAGAGTGATACTTCAAGAGAGCAGGTTTGAAAATGACCGGGTAATCTGCTAGAGAATAAACGCCTGAAAAGGATTATCTCAATTTGACAGAAATGCTCATTGAACTTCGTCCGTGAAAAACGAAACAAGAGGAAAATATACCGGGCACGGCGGATTTGCATAGGAAGTCAGATTGCATGTGTTGAAACGATGACTTTCAAATGGCTCATCTTGATATCTAGTCAAACTCCCATGTTCTAGATACCATCTTCAAACGGTCACGTCCGATAACCATTTCAACGACAGTAAGTGGTCCCTAATGACTGCACCAAATGCGTATATAGAACTGGAACATTCGAATTTATAAGGTATCGTCAACAACTTCCGTTCTCTTTTTATAACAGGAGAGAAATTATCTCACTGTGCATTTAAAAGGAATGACTGAAAATTAAGGGAAAGAAAATAACTCTGACCACTCTATATGTCACCCAGTTCAAGGAAGATGGGTCCTGACCGAAGTCAGCAGGTGCGCAGTGGATCTCACCGTCTACACGGATGTGAAATGAACAAATGAAGATCAATATTTTTAAATGCATCCAATAAGTTTTGATAGCTCAGATCCATTATCAGCAATAGCGGCAGCTGAGAAATAGATGCAACTCAGAAAAAAATCAACCTACGAGAAACAACTGTTATTTAGCTGACGATGTGTCGTCAGTGAACTTCCAAACAAATATGACTATTTGACTACGGCTGGCACAACCCATTACAAACATCTGTTCGGACTCACTTCAACGACCTTGCTAGTCATACAAACGACAAGTTGCTGGTGCCATAGCTGCTCCAGAGGTTGGTACAAAAACAGAAACAGTAAGAGCTTTGATGTACTCCGATTGAAATTAATACCTAAAAAGCTGGATCTTCGTTAGATACCACAATAATGGAGTAACAATAAATACTTCCTATTCCGATCCCCATGGATGCATGGTCTGTAATGAAACTGGAACCCCTTACCGATTTGTAGCAAAGTACATCAGATGCGCACTGCTACCGCCATAAAGATGAAAGGTGGCAAGAAAAACAGTTTTTGAAATAAAAAACTCTGCACAGCCCACATAAGCACTGCTCTGTTGAGAGATGAGAAAATTACAAACCTACGATGCAGGAATATCCAGACTGCCGTGTATTTCATGCGGATGTATGCGATCAAACGTCACTGATGTCTACGTCAAATCTGAACTGTTTGCGATGCATTACTTATGTCAGCAACACATTTTACCATTATTTATTTACCGAATAATAACTGACAAAACGAAAGTTAGAAAAAATAATCAATATAATATAACTAAAACATGGATTTACGAGTGAACGAAGAGTCTGTCGGGCAGTCGTCCGATTCATTAGAAGAGAGTGATCCCTCTTTTCTGGAAAAGCTGTGGTCATAGGTTATCTTTAAACCATTTTGAGCTGAGTATCTGCTTCCCCTCTGTCCGTAAACCTTTTCCGTCCCCTCTAAAAATGAATGGAAAACATATTAGAAAAATTTGCATAATCAGTTATGAATGGTTATGTTCATCAGCTACCATTCTCCAAATCTTCGATTCGGAACATTCTCTCCGTCGCGTGAACAGCAAACCAAAGTGATTGGTACCCTGGTGGTTGCAAGTTCAGCTTCTGTTATGCCCGATCGCACCCGAAAGTTCACAGCTTTACACAGCATACGTTGCGAAACAGTAACGCAACGCGACCCGCTGGCAGATCACGTGCAAGCTTTACACTCTGCAAATATACAATCTCATCGAAGTAGGTATCAAGTACGATTGTAGTGGCAACAGAAATTCAAAGAGCGCGAAAATTCAAATTAAACTGTACCAAATTCATAAATCAGCTGACAAAAAATTGCGCCATTAGCGCCAAACGGACTTCTCGACATTTTTTTACGTAGTCACATGAAATCGAAGGTGCACTGCAACCGAATCGTCAAACAACAGGTTATCAAATCGAACAACGGAAGGAACGGCTAAATGCGGTCAAGATTTGCAACAGTCCGAAACGCATTACTTCGACCCAACCGAAATTTCTACTGCAACATCTCAAATCTTGAACTGAGAGAGCCAGTTGAGACGGCCCGTACGTCAAGCAAAATTCGTGACACATAAATGACGAAGAGCGAAACAAGCGAGTTTTGCGTACTGTTCACATATGCTTTCAAAAACAGGGCGATGATAAACGATAAGTGGCAGGCGAACAGGCGAAAGTCCGACGAACACATGAACGACAGTCACAAACGAATGACGCAACGCTAATGCACTACACGTTTAAATTATGCACTACCGGAAACAGACAGTCCTTACTCTTGTCGAAGCACCCCCACCAGTTTTAAATGCCCAGCACTGCAAAAACATAACGACCAGGTGGATACGTAGTTAACGGACTAAAGTTTTTATGACGCAGATGGCACGAAGTGAATTGCTTAGATACGAAAAGCTAAATGAACGTTCGAAAAGCGTATAACTGCAAGCAACTAACTACTGTGATCAACACTTGCGCAACATTCATACATGTTACATCGTTCAAAATGCTGCAAAATGCACCTAATGCGATAATGATACACACTAGGTAAATGCAAAATTCAAACCGAGTTCGACGCCGTAGACAAATGCAATATTTCGCCGGAACTGATTAAGGAAAACTAATTATAACCGACTAACAATCAAATTAGTATGAAGGGGGCAGTTTTAACTATGAAGTTACTTCAACGTGAACAAAAAGCAAAAATTCCACACCAAACGTCACCTGACACGCACTGGTAGAAGCTCGTCACCACAAACCGTAAGCTATCAAAATTAATTAACGATGCTCATGTATTAACGTATAACACCTGCGCGTTACAAAATTCAAACAAAAAGAGTTGCTAATTTCTACTTGGATGCAATAAAGAAGTTAATATATGGTATTCAGCATCTGTAAACATGCAAAACTTTATTTATTGAATATGCAAAATACATCAAAATGTTTCTATATACAAAACAATATGCTGCTAAGCGTCACCAAATGATATAATTTAATACATTTCACTGGAAAACATCATTTAAATAGCGACTCTGTCCACATAAATCCGATAGTCATAAGGGCAATGTTATAAATCAGGATAAATTTTACCGCAATCATTTATTATTTTATTGAATACTAAATACAGCATGCATATTACGCAGGCGTAATCTGCTTGGAAAGTCTCTTAATCTTCCAAACAAAAGGACTCTGCGAGTTCGCTGCATAAATCCATGCGTTATGATCTAACCTTACGGTATCGAAAAAAATATTTTATGATAATGAAACCAGAATATTTTCGATGATTTTTATAATTTTTCAAAACTAAAGTGCTATAATTTAAAAACGTTAAACACCATCGTCATTATAAGATGGGCACATAATTAACTCCTTTGGTCAATACCGATGCATGTGGAGAATGAAAACAATTTTATTTATAAGCATGCGACAGATCGTGCGTCAATTTTCCACATTCCACAGAAAATATTACGAATCTGGAGAAGAGCGGGACGATATACTTGCCCTACGCCATTATTGGCCGCACTCAGATTCTTCCGTAGGATGCTTGGGTAAGTACTGGTTGTTTTGCCTTCCGTTCTAGAGTAATTCGCAACCATAGCAGCAATCACCTTTAAATTTTGAGAATGCGTTCATACGTCAACGAACTATCAGATAACTCTGCACCACAATATGCTCATATATGTACGCTCAGCGATTTGTATCAGAATGCATTTCAGAAATTCGCCTCCTGTATCGAAGTTTTTCGGCCCTCAAGACTCTCCGCTATAGCAGAGTTCAGGAACTAAGAGCGACATGAACACTCAGAGCTTAGACTCACCTCTGCATTAGTCATAACGGTTTGGGCAAATTCACGCAGTGTACCGCTGGTCATATGACTTCAATGGTCGATCACTTCCGCCCGTTTTCTGTCGCCAGTAAGCACAAACAGTTTTTTTGTTGCAAGTTATGTGAGCTTCTTCGCTTGATGCATTATTTGTTTGATCATCTGCAAGATGACGAGAAGCCACAAAGCCTTTTCTTTCTGACGTGTTCAAAGACATGCAGGTGATATTTCCCCCGTCCGCGGGATTTTTCAGAGAGCATTTGAGATGAGATTCACCAGATGCCAACAGTTCTGCAAACAGCGACCTTCTCCTCCCCATCAACATCTCCTACACTAATAAACTCGTGACTTCAGTCAAAATCCTCCTGTCCGCATACATCAGAATCAAAAGAAGAGATAGAACGCATGCATGACTTGGAGGCCACTGCCATAATGGAAAGATGCAGAGTCAAGACCGTTTAGTCTAATAAAGCACCTACTGTCACCATACAATGACTGGAGGGCTGGGAACTGCTAGCAATCGGTAGCATATCTTTGTTGGCACGCTAATAACCTCTGATGCCGCATTCATTCCTAGGCTTTCTCAAGGTTAGCGCCTCATATGTAAACTATATGATCGAACTCACCTGATTTTTCAAAAATGTGGCGTTAGCGTAAGATCTGGCCATCGGTGATTCGAAGGAGTTAAACCGCATTGCTCTACCTGCTTTTTAGAGTTTGTTATTTCACGGCATGTCTTTTCCAAAACTATTGCATCAACTTTTCAGCGGAGGTTCAAGAAGGTGATGTTCGATAATTAGAATACTACCTATCGCCCGCTTTTTTAAACAGGAGTATTAAAACCCCCTATTCAGTTTACTGGTGTATTAGTGTGACACATACGTGTTAGCTATAATATTAATGGTTGGTTTAAATCTTTAAGCATTTTGCGGCAGATTTCATCGATTCCTGCAGCCTTGCCTTTCTAAGAATTTTACAGCTTGTCTGACTACTTTTGTTGAAAGACAAGCACTTTCGTGCTGTTCCTCAGGCAACTCTACCAACAATTGCTTGATTAAAGAGTTCCTCATTGTGCTGCTTCATCTTTCAAGCATGCTGTCATGCACGGTAAAAAACGCCTGGACGTGTCCTTCAGGATTTTTTGACTACCCTTCTTCCCTTCTTTCTCTCCCGGAAGCGGCAGGAACACTGCCAAAATATCTTGTTTTCGGTCTTAAAATTCGACTCTATCACCTCAATGACTTTTTCTAGGAATCACATGTCGCTTAGCCGGTCACATTTGCTCCGGAACTATGTGTTCATGTCCAATGAGTTCGAGTTGAAGGCTCGTTCTTTTCAAAATATTTTTTCAATTGAGTCTTCTTCGCGCTGACAGTCAATAAAACCTCTCGTAAACATTAGGAATTCGTTGTAACTTTCAGGGCAACAAGCCCTACTGTTTTCAACCGCAGCATTCGGTTATACGCAAACGTCAGCTACTCTGAAAGAGTTTGCACTTAATTTTCGCGACTGCCATTGCAATTCTGATATACAAATATTGTCTTATGAAGTTCTTTGGCATGTTTTGAGATTGTGTCCGCAGAAATAATGTTTCTAGTTGATTCTACGGCTACTTTTAACGACAGATTTTCATATGTTACTCCATTAATTACAGCGGAGGGAACTAACAACGAAGTGATTATAGATTAGCAGCGCTGTGCCTTTCTTAAGGAGAACACCCGTTACTGTTATCGAATTGATCGTTCACTGCCGCATATGAGCTTTTAATACAGGTATACCTATGCGCCCATCGATGTCATAGCACTGTGTTCATAACAGACCGTGCTTGCGCAGAACTGCAAAAATTGCAACCGTTGCTATTGAGGTCGCAAGGGCGGTTCTTTCCAGTAACGCCTTTCCACTTTTCAGTGTTCACTCCGATACGCACATTGAGATTTTCCATTTGAACAATAAGTTGGAATTTCGTATCGAGCACGTTTTATCTACTTCAGTAAAGGACAATATTTTCCATCCAAAATAGATATGTAACATGATAAATGCTTTAATTAGTTGTATTTTTTGCCGGATGATTGCTGCTCTTCCACTGAGAGGTTTAAATTCCATGATTCTGTTCCAGGTTGAATTCTACGAGAATACGCACTCTGTCCTCAGCGAGTTAGGTGAAAATACGTGGATAGAATACCTTCTACCCTAAGAGATTTAGAATTCCATAGCTGTAGCTTTTTGTTTACGAGAGTCCAACCATGTAAATTCGGTTGCTATTTGCCTCTTAGTAGGGAAGTGCTCAAATTTCAGGCTTCCGTTTAGAACGGTTAGCCTCTTCGTTGCTAACTGATTTTCACATTCTTTGTAGGTCTTCGATTCCAGTTGCAGTGCTGCTACGTCTCAGTTGTCTGAAAGATTGAAGCGGATTTTGTCCATCGTCAATTCGCAATGTGAATCAGTTCCTCGAGATGCTTCTCAAATATTGGTAAGCAGAGCGACGATCCAGAGTTCATAGCATTTGACTGCGGCAGTACCTTTTATGAGGGACACCTTGCTATGTTTTCAGAATATTCGACTACTGTTACCAATCCCGTTACTTCCTCATTCAGGCTTGTGGACTATCAGTGTTGGGATGACTAATTTAATAAAACAGAACTCATTCCTGTTAGAACATCGTCAAAACAATCAAAAGCGATAATTTTCTATATTATTTATAATTATAATAAATCAG